TTCCCCACTGCCATGCCTCTTCTTTTTGCAATAATTTTATTAAATATTATGTTATACAAATAAACTAATACACTCGAGTTAAAATATATTTTAAAAGAAGAAAAAATATAAAGGTCCATTGAAAGAAGAATCCTCCTTCCTCCCCTGCAAGTAACATCAATATTAACCAGTGATGGGATACAATTTTTTTTACTACTGGTTCTGTGGGCATGGCTTGGTGGGCATGGCAGGAGAAGGATACTGTGAAATCTCCATTCCCTCCCCACTTCAGGGGAAGGTTACTGCAAAATCCCTATTTCCTCCAGATCAGCTGGGACTTGGGAGGGAGAGAATAGATGGGGGCAGGGCCAGTCAGAGGTGGTATTTAACTGGTTCTCCGAACTACTCAAAATTTCTGCTACCAGTTCTCCAGAACAGGTCAGAACCTGCTGAATACCACCTCTGNAAAAGCAATTATATCCAGCAAAAGACATAGTTTCCAGAGACCAAGAGATCAAATTATTAAAATTTCTTCTGCACAAAGTTATTTAACTGCACATTGTTAATGCGAAACATGATTATGATCATTTAAGAATTTTACTCTGCACCTACTTCCTTCCCTGTGTCTTCCCTTTTTTCTATTTCATTTCCCTCCAACAGTTATAAATTACATCATTTTTCTGGACATATTTCTTTGTTTAACCTACCACCAATATGCCAATTTTTTCAAGCTATTAATGCTTTTAGGTATTACCACAATATATTACACCCCCTTTTGTTTAAAAAAATATTGTTAAAAGTTAACATTATAGATTGAATTGAAATGGGAAAATATACACATTAGAATGACTGCTTGGGGATTGTGATTGTGCTAAAAAGGCAACACATGAAGCTACACAAATGTCAACATGATTATAATACTGATGCCTCTATGATTTAGAGTGTCTTAAGAATCCCTTGGAGATCTTGGCCATAATTTACCACAAAATTAATTATGCTTAAACTTAGATGTTCACAATTAAGAGCCAGAAGAACCCCCAGGGGCTAAATGGACTCCTAAGGTTCTTCAAAAGCTTTAGTTCAGAAAAGGGTGAACAGGAATTTCTCTGCAGCTTTTCTCTTTCTCTCTTTTTTCTCCAAATTCTTTGAGCCTGTAAGAAGGCTTAAGAGAAAGGCTGAGCTTTATTTCACCTATCTCATAGAAACAGGGGGAGAGGAAAGTTTGAAGACATTTTTGTTAAATATATTCAAGAAAAAAAAACAGTTCTTTTCTGGAACCTTCCTCGATCTAAAGAGCTCAAAAAAGAGGTTGGTGGTAGGGAAAAAATCAGGACTCTTTAGTGAAAGATAATTCTTTTTCTTGCTTTGTCATGGTTTGGTTAAAAAATATACTGAAGAACAGCAGAACAGTTCCAGGTATTTCTTGGTATGTCACTTAAAGAAATACATGCCTTCCTATTCCTCTGCATATAAAATACAATACAATAAAATACAATAGCAGAGTTGGAAGGGACCTTGGAGGTCTTCTAGTCCAACCCAGGCAGGAAACCCTATACCGTTCCAGACAAATGGCTATCCAACATCTTCTTAAAGACTTCCAGTGTTGGGGCATTCACAAGCTGTTCCACTGATTAATTGTTCTAACTGTCAGGAAATTTCTCNGCATGTATGTATTTTCAATCTTAGCAAGCAGTTAAAAAAGGTTAAAGAATTTTAAATTTTAACAAGAAGGAAATGGGGGGGGGAGGAAATGCAAAAGTGATTTAAAAAATGAGATTTGCTCAAACCTTGACTCTATATAAAGCTACATTAATAATTCTGAGCTTAATGGAGTCCAAGTTGTTTGCAAGAGATTGCAAAAACATCCATTTCTGCCCTCTGTTCACAAAACAACCCCATCTGTCTGGACTGTTTATGGGTGATTTCAAATACATCTCCCCTTCCTCCAGAGACAATTTGGCAGTCTGGATGCGGCATCGCACTGCCTGTGGGCTGTAAGGTCTCCTGCTGTTCAGTGGAGTCAATTTGCCATTCCTCACTGGAAGCTCCTCTCCTCTTGTATTAAGGACAATAGGTTGGAGAAAATAACTTCATGTAAATGCCAGCATGAACAGGAAAGGGACCTGCAGCGATCCCACAACCAAAGTAGACATGAACAGGGCAGTCAGTTTCAGGGATACAGCCTGTCACATAAAATTAATACTCTCACTTTTACAGTGTTTTGGCATAGAGGAAGAAAGACAGTAAGAGATAAAAGAAGCAGAGCGGAAAATGCTGTGGAAGATACAGGGAAAATAGTATGTACGGAGAGGGAGACAAAGCAACAGATAAAGGGGGCAGTCTTTCTTCCTAGTGATTAAAAGTGACTGGCGTGAAAGGGGTTCTCTCCTAGGTAGGTGGTACCATCTCTGTACATCCGGTTTCCGATGCAAGTAAAGATAGGTATTGCTTCATTGTCATTACTCACTCTAGCATTTGACTCAAGCCATCAGCACATACTCTTACTCTGCATATGTATCAATGACATTACAGTAGAATTGCAGAAGACTGAGCAAATCATCTGATTGGGTGTACTTTTAAATATCAACATTTTTCCATTAAAAGAATTGTAGCATGTGAAAATAAGACCCTTCAAGTCAGCAACATGCATTTTGTATTTTTTTTATCACACCTTATTTTTTACAAATAACTTGAAGTGGTGAGAACATATCAAACACACTTCCTCTTATTTTCTCCACATCAATCCTGCGAGAAGAGTTGGGCTGAGATTAACAGTAACAGAGTTGGAAGGGACCTTGGAGGTCATCAAGTCCAAACCCCTGTTCATACAGGAGACCTACACTAGGGATTCGAACCAGTGACCTTTCTGATTGATAAGCTCAGCATCTTAGCCAGACTGACCCAAAATCACCCAACTGGCTTTCATGGCTAAGGGGGATTTGAACTCACAGTCTCCCACTTTCTAGCCTAGTTCCTTAACCACTAGGCCAAACTTGCTCCCATAATGGATGGGGAATGAAAATAAACATTGTTGCTTTCTTCACTAAATGT